GGGGGGGGCTGAATGACCTCCTGTTCCTGTGTAACAGGCTGGAGGAGAGGGGGCTGAAAGGCCTCCTGTTCCTGTGTAACAGGCTGGAGGAGAGGGGGCTGAATGGCCTCGTGCTGTCTCTCTGTTCCTGGGTTACCTTTCCCTGTTGCGTTCCAGCTGAGGGTCCATCACGCTCGAAGACCTACGACGAGGAGAGCATGATCTCTGTGAACACTTCCCGGGATGAGACCCAGGATGGGTTTGTGAACGAGGACTTGGAGCCCACCCTGGGGGACTTCCTACAAGACAGGCTGCGGTTTCCAGCTCCCGACTGGCCCAAGGTAAGAGCAGATGGTGACTCCTTCCTCCCCATTCAGTGCCAAACAATTGATGGGAGAGGACAGGCACTCGTTGAGGAATTTGCGACATGTTTGAGGAGCGGCGAGTTGGGTGAACGTCCTTAAAGTAACGACCCAGAACGCCCTCACCAGCATTTTCGGAGGGTGCACGGATACTTTGGAGAGGGGACAGAGAAAGATTACCCGGATGGTGCGTGGTGTTGGCGGGGGGTGAATTTTAGCTGAAGGAAGGTCGGACAGACTGGGTTTGTTCTCACTGGGACACAGGAGGTTGAGGGAGCGACCTGATAGAAGTTTATAAGATTGAGAATGGGATGGACAGAGGGGGAAGTATCAAGCTTTATCCCCAGATCGGAGGGTCAGTTACTAGGTTCAGGATGAGAGGGGAGGAAGTTTGAAAGAGAGATGTATGAGGCAGGTTTTTCACACAAAAAGGGTGGTGAGTGCCTGGAACGTGCTGCCAGAGGAGGTGGTGGAAGCAGATACAATAGCAACATTCAAGAAACACCTGGATAAATACACGAATAGGAAGGGAATAGAAAGATGTGGATCCTGTAAGTGAAGGCGGTTTTACTCTGGAAGGGCGCAGTGTGTCAGTGCAGACTTGGAGAGCCGAATGGCCTGCTCCTCTGGTGTATTGTTCTTCGCCAACCAGACGTGCCTGTATTTGGTAATTCCCCGTCTCCCAGCAGCCGCTCAGTGGATGGAATTGCTGAGTGGATAAGTGTGAGGTTATCCATTTCAGTCAGGGGAACAGAAAGGCCGCGTACTATCAAAACGGGGCGGGAAGGCGCCGAGCTTTCGGTGCAGAGGGATCTGCGTGTCCCCTGTGCATGAGCCGCAGATACTTCGCACACAGGGAGAGCAGGAAATGAGGAAGGCAGATGGAATATTGGCACTTAATGCGAAAGGAATAGAGTGTGAAAGTGTTGCTGCAACGTCACAAGGCATTAGTGAGACTGAACCTGGAGTATTGTGTACAGTTCTGGTCTCCTTATGGGAGGAGGAATGCACTTGTATTGGAGGCAGATAGGAGGATGTTCACCCGGTTGATTCCAGAGTTCGTTAGGCCACTTTGGAATGCTGTGTTTAATTCTGGTCTCCCTGCTATAGGAAGGATATTGTGAAACTTGAAAGGGTTCAGAAAAGGATGTTGGAGGGTTTGAGCTACAGGGAGAGGCTGGGGCTACTTTCCC